GGATGGAGTTCGGATGGATGGAGTGTAGGAAAGGGGTCTTCACTTTGCAATGTCCGACCAACTCAAGTAAACGATCATCTTCTGTCTACAACTAATACTCCTAAGCTTCGTTGCTGCCGCCGTGTGTATCATCTGCGTTACGGTGTCTATGTTTCTTGCGCATTGGGCATCCGGGACGTGTTCTCGGCTTCCCGGTTGGCATTGGTTAGTCCAGCCTGCAACGCGACCAATCAAAGTTGAGAGTCAGAAGCTATTGACATGACAAGAACGACTAAAATACTCTAAAATGTTGTTTGGCCGACCAATGATGCTGTTTTGAAATGCTAATGGAATCTATCTAATTTTGTCAAATCAACTATGTCCTCGGATCCTCAGAAACTTCCACTAAAATTCCAATATTCATCCTCTGTTGTGCAAGACGCAAGAACCACAAAAAAGTGCCCCAACAGCATGCCCAGCCAGGTTGCCAGTCCTCCTCCTGACCGACTTCACCTTGGCTTATCTTGGAATAGCTGCCATTGCCAAATCATGCAAGTCGGAGCTGGGGTTACAATCAAAATCAATCAAAGGTCTGAAGCTCGCCTAGGCCCATGTTTAGCTTTCTGCAAAAACTGGTGCAAGCTGCCATCCTTGGTTCTCGTTGTCCATGGAAAGGCTTTCATGTGCGGAGCAGTGATCGAGTGTGTTGGTGCGGTCAGCGGATTCAAACTCAGGGGAAATTTAACATCATCGAAACGAATCAATAGTCTTTTCGGCCCTATGAAATGATGTCGAGTCCAAGCAAAAAAATAAGAAATAGTTGTTGCATGTGTTTGCCAACTGCGTTCTGTTGGAATATAGCACCTATTTAATCAGAGGTGATGAGACATGCTTGCTTTTCAATGCGTTTCTGCCTGGAAAAGGCCTATTTAGTAGTCTCGCTGGGTAGCCATAGTAGCCATCATGACTCGTCGAAGCCCATCCAGGCACCACGCGCTGTTCCGCAAATTCCTCGCCTGCAGCTTCGTTTCGATTTCATGGATCGTAAATTATGATGACACAGTGCTGTCGGCGAGTTCATCAGGTCAAAGGAAAAACCATGGAAAACCATGGCTCTTAGAGTGGCTCTTAGGTTGGAGGCCATCGCTATTAGGTTCCTTAAAGCCTTTTTGTTTAATCGTTTTACGTTCCGTGTTTCGGCGAAACGTTGGAAAGTCGTGGCTTGCCTCGCCGTGAAGCCTCCATTTGGATCTCTTCCAAGGACTTCACGCCGTCTGTGGCCTGCAGGCGGCCAGGTCAGGTTTCGAAGGCATTTGCTTTTCTCTTGACTCAGCGTTCACTCCGACGTCAGTAAAGCGAGAGAGTGGTGGAATGAGTATGTAACACCACACTATGCACATCAAATGGTGTTGCCATTGTGTCGGGTGAGTCAAACAGAGAAACAGTTGTTGTTGAAATGAAGGTAGTGAAAACAGGTTCATCGCTGCGAAGTGCAACTGGAGTAGTTCTACAACTTGGTATTTCAGTCATATCTAAGATCTGTCAATTACATGAAAAAAATAGAAAACGTGTTTACAAGTGAAGCGGAGTGACACGTACTTCAAAACTGCCTCGATTGAAAAAGATGTCTTGCCTACGTGACAAATGCAGCATTTAGTGTGTCTTCCATGCATGGTTATGAATAATGATTTGATCGTTCCAAGTCGTTGCCTCTAAGGATGGTTTTTACTTGGATACACACTGTTTGAGGCTTTAGAGAGCTGTACTGTTCTTGTGTTTGATCTTCCAACATGTGGACACACTCGTGTAATCCCACCAAAAAGGGAATCCCAAATTCCACCTCCTCCAAGCCCATGTCGTCATCATCGCCGGCAGAAACCGACTGAAGGTTTTTCACCTCAAACTGCTCTTGTCAATGTGCATTGAAACCCTTCATGACTTGCTCAACTCTGCCAAATGCCTGCAAGAATCAGCAAACACCGTCGTACTAACTGAACATGTAGCCATCAGCGCAGCAATGAAACGTTAGGTTATTAAAGGGCCTGCATCTACCCAAAGATTACATGCACCTTGGGACCATGTAGTTACTTTGCCATCCCCAACCAAAAAAATGTTATAATATATACAGTTAATATGTCTAAAGTGAAATATATGTATTAATAAATCTATTTACTTAATATTATATATATAGCAATTATAGTAGGTATATGCGACACCTCAAGCCGCCCGGTGCATCTACACTTTGTTTCTGTAAACCAGATCGGACCGCAAATTGGCAACCTCGTCCTGATTCAATGTAATCGCGCAGGCAGCGCTCGCCGGTCATCTCAACGCAACATGTGCGCATGTCTTCTCGCTGAGCCGGTTGCCGCCACAGCAACTGAAATCGTCACACAGGCAGCGCCCACCGATCGTCTCGAAGCGGTATTTCAACCGCGTTCTTAGTCAAGCTGTCCATGCTGAGTTCAGCGGTTAGCTTGAATTCACACTTTAGCACTCCAAACGTTGTCTTCAGCCCAGGCCATGTGCATCGCGCGCGCCCAATCTCACACTTGCCCAATTCCTCGGCAAATCCGACGATGTAGATCTCGTGACCACAAGGTCTCCAAATAAATACCATAAATGCGTAGAGTCTAAAAAGTAGTCTCCTCTGCAAGCTAATTTTGGCGCTCTCAACCCTCGTCAAAAGGCTTTTAGGGCTCGTGGCTGATGACACAAAGGGCCTCCCAGGGCTCGCGGCGAGCGCCTTCTCTGCAACTGTCTTTTCGCGGCGAGTGCACTCGTTCCACACTGCGCTGTAAAGGGCCACTTGCCTCATTGTTTCCGCTCTCTGAAACCTTCCTCGGCAAGTTCGAAACGACCAAACAAGAGAGATGTAATTTAACTATACTACATCTGTACTGCATCTTCTTCTCTCTTCCTGTGTGAACTTGAACTTTCCATTCTTGGCATCAAAGCTTCAAGCTCGTTTTCTTCCAGGGATTCGGCCCAGTTGCCTTGACCCTTGCAGTGGACTAAGACTACACGCCGGCCATATCGGCAGTGAAGCCACAAAGCCACAAAGCTTTCTCGTTGGTTGATCATAGGAAGCTTTGTTTTTTGAAGTACAGTGTATATAGTCTAGTATATGTCATTAAATTCATATCCTTCATATCCTTGTGTGACGTGCGAAATAGCCACAAACACTCAGTGTCTTTAATGAATAATGAGTCATGATCAAGGGTATGCACTCGGAGTCATCCAGTTTTCTCTTTGGGCCACTCGTCCAACTCTTTGCCTAGGATCTTACAGCATGAATGATGCCCAATGCCAATACCCTTCAGCTCCTCCTTTTGACTGCAACCCTTCTTATCTGTTCTTGAAAACATACCAGCGCCACAAAACATACGTTTGAATTTGGTCAGCAAACACAGCAACCATGGTTGAAATGCAGTTGACCAATACCCATGGACTGCAAGCTTGAGGCCTTCTGATTCAATCGCTGCTTGAGGAAGGACGCAGCATCCTTCATGCATAGTCAATGGGCCATGGTCAGGTGTCGACTGTTGCGCTATACAAAAAAAAAAAAAACAACTATCCAACCTCAAGTAATTAACCAACAAAATCTGCACAAACCTAAAGACCAACCTCCCTTGACGAACCAAACGCTTGAAATCCATATTCTCGAAAAGCAGCAACAATGGAAGAACACCATTCAACTTGTCCCGATGAACAGTTTTCCACAAATCACTTGTCAATGTGAAATGGAAAATGATCAGGCTTAGCCTAGCAGCAAACAATAGCTCAATGATACTCTCAATGATCTATCCGTCTAGTACACTACAGCGTGCTGGTGTTGATTGAGCACTTTGGTGGAGCTTGGAAGTGGACCCCCACAAGCAGGATTGATCGAAAAATATGCATTTGTCTACCAATGATGATGGAAAACAGTTCTACATCGTCTGAGATTCCGCAGTGGAAGATTGCCGGTCTCCTTCCGCAGATTTGGTTTCTGTCCAGGCTTAGTGCAAGGCTTGTTGTTTACCTTGCCGGCACATTGGGGTTGAGAGATGCACGCCACAGAAGAGCAAGTGACATGTTGCCAAACCAACAAAACAACAGGTTTGCAAAACTTTACAAAATTGACTCTGCACCTTCTTCGCCGTGCGGTCGGGCCTCTGCCTGGGAGCATTTGAGAGCATTTGGACATCGCAGAGTTTCTGCGATTGAAAGGTTGAATATTTCGGACCACAGGATCTGTCAACAACAACTGAGGGAACTTGTCGACAATTACATAATTGTTTTTTTCAGAGATGTTTGTGTTTTGCCTGAGATGCAAAACACATGTTCTCAAATAAAACTACGAAATTTGGATAGTGGACTACAGTTCTAGTGTGAACAAAGACCTGATGAAAATGACTAGCAACTACCTTTCGACTGTAAAACTATATTATGCTCCTTGCACGACTTGCACCAATGAGTTTCCGGCGCGCTGCCACGGCCCATTGGACTCGCATCCGGAAGAATTTTTAAAATTCTAATGTTGACACGTGAACTGCTACACTGCTACACTGAGAGATCAATTTGAATCACAAAATGTCACGTTGTTCGCTCAATGGAAAATCAACATCTTGGCAATACGTGAAATACCGTACTATGAGCACTCTAGAATCTAAAAGTCAGTGCAATCAACATCATGCATGTCATGTCATCTTCTTGTTTGTGTTGTTTTGTCCTTCAGCCGACATGCAAAAAGCGAATGACTCCAATTTGTTGCCTGCCCTGCCCCCCCCTTACTCCCCAAAAAACATTTTTTTGCGGAGATGCTCTATCCTGGGTGACAGTGCAGGCGCACGCTGGAAGACAACAAAGTGCAAGGAAAATTTTACCTGCACTCTGACAGTCTCGCAGGGGCCTGCATTGCCATCTGGAACCTGTGTAATTACATATGACCACGGCTCGACTTTCCATGCGCAACAAAAACTCCAAATCAAACAAACACCATGAAATATGATGAAACAATTTTTGCACATTGCTGTCAGCTTCAACCAAACAACCAACCTGTGGTCGTGTGCAACATAGTCATTTGTCAAGTTGGCTTTGCCAACATTCACGTACGACAATGTTGGTACATACAGTACATTGTTGATTGAACTAGGCAGCATCAGGCCAGCACCAGCTGACGGCGAAGGGAAAAAAAACCATGGATTTGATCAATCAAGAACCAACTGCAGTTTCTCAGCTCACATGCGTGGGGCAAACATCACAAAACATTCATTGTGTTTTGTGTGCACGTGAAAACGCAAAGTCTTGCCTGCCTGATCTTGCAGAAAGCCATGGCATGATTATTCCTTGAAAGTTCCAGGTAGGAAGCGGCTCTGCTTGCAAACATCAGCCATTTCAATTGCAGGTTTGACCTGTCTGTGGTCTGCTAGCAACAATCGCTTGCCTCATCTCCCACCATATTTGCCAAACCCTGCCACTGCATTTGACATCACTTGCCAATGGTTCATCTGTGCTGAACTCGCTTGTCAAAATACTGCCAGCATGTTGCACACCCAAGAGATCTCAAAAGAAAACGCTCGCAAATCCCTTGCACGCTGCCTGCGGAAAGTCCTGAAGCACCGCGCCACCGCGGAGACTCTTCAAAACAGAAGTTGCATACCTGGCAAGATCTGAGTGTGGTACCCGCGTTGGCTTTGATGACGTTGGAGGCGCGTTAATTAGCAGTAACAACCCGTTTTCTCCCGAACATCAACGACTAGAGGGTGTAGGGGCCCGTGTCACGGGTTCAGCTTCGAACCAGAAAGCCTGTCTAGGATGGTTCGGTTTGGCCGCTTAGCCTTCGTGGAAGCTCGCGGCAAGATCTGCAAACACGGCCAAGTCGAAGGGGACACAAGGCATGTTTATAGAAGCTACCGTTAAGCTGCAACACCTGCTTTGAACCGCGAGCTACAAGTGCACAAGGCTTTGTGCAGAGCACAGCAACGACGCTGGTGTCTTGGCGCTAGCAACCAAGGCTGCAGAAAGATGGCCTCATTGTGCATTTTATTCACCCTCGCCTTCAAAAGACAGGTTTGGCTGGGAGCAATTCCCTGCAAAGGTAGCACACATATGTTACAATGGTTGTTATGAATCAACTGCTAATGAGTTGATGCCCGCTCCATTGATGAGACTTGGCTCATTCATGCCTAGCGCCATCGCTCCCAGCCCTAGCTGCCAGAGCCCCAGTCCCAAGAGCGACGGTTCCACTGACCGTGCCACTGCTGCCAATCATCACCATCCTTCCTCTTGGGCTCGTCAGTGATGACGGCTTTCCCAGGAGGTGGTCCAGCAAGCTCTGGTGGCTTTGGGGCCCTTGCCGACGGAGTCGGTGTACATGCCTCAGCAGCCGGAGCACTGGGTCCAGGCATGTACAGGTGGCTTCTTTGTCTCAGGCATTTGAGCAGTGGTTCTTTGGCTCCAGCCGCCGCCACTGCAGTGGCTGATAACCAATACAAACGGCCGTTAAGCTGCAACACCTGTTTTGGGTACACAACCTATACATGGCAAAAGTGTACATATTACCCGGAGTGAATCTACAATGTTTGGATGCATGTCACGCGCATGGACAAAAAAGGATGTCTAACTTGTGCTCATTGGGGATTGTGGAGCGCATTCGCAAAACTGAATGAACCACTGCAAACCGCATACAAAACAAAGAGTCCCAATGCAAACTATTTGTTGGAGTTATCTAGTGTGGTACAAGCAAGGGGACAGTTCTCCATGATGCAACTGCGCTGTTCTTCTTGACGTCTGTACTCACAAAGCAAAACCCAGCAGCACAGGACTGATGATCGGCAAGTCGCCACACAAACGAATAATGTCACACACAGCAATGTACAATCATACAAGTGACAGCCAAGGGCAGCAACCCAATCAAATTGGCCAGGACTAAGCAATGACTTGTTGAGCTGCGAATTCTTAGAGCGCAAGGGACACGGGGCCTCGAGCTTCTGCAATCTTTGTGGGTCTACGCGTAGATTGTAGATCTTGTGGACATAGTTTGAATGTTCCGTGGTAGTGCGCGTGTGGAAGTTGTTGCGGCGCAGCTATACCTAGCAGCACCTGGGTCAAAAATTTCCGCCTCAGTCCGATTTGCCTGGAGGATTCGCGGAGGGGAAATCCGCGCCAGGCAGGAATTTCCGCGGCCAGCAGGGAATTTTTGCCGCGAGCAAATTTCAACATAGCCTTACAAAAACCATCACCACTGCCCAACACCGACCAGGTTCTCTTCCATGATTGCATACCACATATCGTGCTGCAAGGACATGGTTTCACATAGTTTCACATGTCAAGATCTCACACCCTACGATTTTGACACTTCTTAATTCATGAATATTCACGACGTTCACAAAGAGGCTGCAACATTTGTTCAAGCCCTTCAAAGGCACTGTTTTTGAATCCTGCCTTCTGCCAGGAAATTTCTGCCGTTTTCCCGGGTATTTCCGCCTTTTGCCGGGCATTTTCGCGCCAGGTGTTTTCAACTTTGGACTGGTTTTACTCCGTATGTGCCCATACCACACAAGAAACCTTCAAAAACAAAGCCACATAAATGACATGACGGTAACCAAATGGTGGAGGTGGAAACTTAAGTGTCGCAATTTTTATTTTCTTAATGGAGGGACCATTCCAGTGAGAAATGCCCAATGTAAACCACTGAAGATATTCAACTCCTCTAGAATCTATATATATATATATATACTAGCGGACTGAAACTTAGAATGCCCATTTGGAAAAACGAGAAGGAAACAAAATGACTCCCCTAACCCCGTGAAAGCTCCAAAAGTTAACAAAAACCCTGTAAAATACAGTGAGTCGTGCAGATAGAATGCCTGCCCCCACTTCTTGCCCACCTACCAGATTTGCTGACAGGCGCGGTGTTTCGTAGAGTTAGAATGCCCCGCACCAGGTTCAACAAAAATTGTAAGGTTTGACACTATACTTGATTTCAATTCTCATGTTCGGCTAAGAAAAGAGGAAGAGCAGACTCTTGTGCATATATATATATAGTGTATTTGAATGTATTTGATATGTCCAAAAGAAGCGTGTATATATATATAATCTATGGTTACAGAACAGGTCTTTGTTTTACATGTGCCAACAAAACCGCAGAAACCGGCCTCGGCCTTGGGACAAGAAGGGAAAAAGGAGCGAGCTGAGTGCCAGAGTTTGAACTCCGGACTGAAACTTAGAATGCCGGCTGTATACAGGAATGTGCAGGCATTCTAAATCCCAAATGGGACAGGCATTCTAAGTTATTCGCGAGTTTTGTTTGGAAAAATGGCCGGCGTTCTAAGTTTCAGTCCGCTAGTATACTTTGTCTGACTAGATTCCTGAAAGGGAAAATTCGCGGCTACAAAAACATGCTCTCGATCCTTCCTTCCGTGGCCAGAGACGATCTATATCGAGGTGCGCACTTCGGAAAACATCTCTGCTGTCAAGTTGAAAGTCAGCAGAGAGAATGCCAAATAGAGTGGAAGTTGCACCCGAACCCATGATGTCTCTGGCCAGGATGTGATCTGAACATTCTCAATTTCGGATGGAGAGGATGAAATCAAGGATTGAAGCCGATGACACACATTACAGGCGGTGCCCAGTAATCGAAAATAGCATGCGAATAAGCAACAGCAACCCTTCTGCAAAGCCCATGAGGATAAGGTTGAGCAGCTAAAGTTCAAAACTGACCATTGTGTGGCCCCACTAAGTGCACATGTTTGCGACCAGAAAAACTGCAAACCCCATTCTCGGATTCACACTGGCGAACTGCTGGAAGCAGGTCGACACCTGAAGAGAGTAGCCCAGCGCGCTTGCGCCAAGGCTTTCCGTCTTGGCAGTAGTCACTGTTGAGCTATCTAACTCCAGAGCATAACATCAATTGTGAGATCTGCTTAACCCGCCACATCCGAGAAGTAGAAGGATTTTCTAACGTGACAGGAATCCCCATGCGATGACAAAGTCGGAAAACCCGAAAGGAGTACAAAAGACTGTGGGAGAGGCCGCAAAGGCCCCAAGTGGAGGTGGTCCTTTCCCATCATGCCGTCGAGCTCGGCTCCAACTTACACAAGGTGATCTTGCCCTTCATGACTCTCTTGACCGCTTTCGAGATGCCCCCCTTCGCCTGCAAAGAGTTCCACGAAAATCGAGCCAGGTGGGGCTGTTTGCATCCAAAAGAGCAGACCAAGAGCTGGGCTGAACTTCGCTCTGCGTCAAGCACCTTTTCTGCTCGGCCTCTGTGAGTAACCCGAACTCGAACACCTGTGCCAGTCAGCCGCCCTGCTCGTATCGCCTCACTGACACCAAGGTCCTCCACCTGCCATTTTTCATCACTTCCTCCAATGGCTGTCTTCGACGCAGCACTTCTGTGGACGCTGCGTCGTGCCTCAGCTGGTAGGGGCATTGGACGCCGTGTTTTCGATAGTTCAGGTGATCTACAGCCATGTTGAACAGCTTGTTGGCCTTGGCGAGGGGGAACGTGAACACAGGCTCCTGGGGGTGACGCTGCTGCTTCAGGACTTTTAAGAGTGGTTTCATGCATTGAAGAAAACTCCATGTCGAGAGCGACACTCCCGTCCATCTCGCCAATCTTTGAAGGCTGATGACTTCCCTCCTCTGCTGATGAAGGGGACGTGATCACTGACCAAGTGGGGTTGATCCGATTGGGAGCCACAATGTGCTGCCACTGAAGCTTCAACATCTCTTCTGGCCGCCCCGCGATGCGCCAAGTCATCAGCATCCACACGCAGACCATGCACTCGTCCGTGGTCTGTGCAATGTACTCGACAATCCTGGCTAACATCAGAAAAGGCAAGGGAACTCGGCTTTGCCCAGGGGCCATCTTCTTGAACCCTTTCAAAGACCGCATTGCCCTTGTCAAGGACGCCATCTTGACGACATCGTTCCTGTGCTGCAGCACTGAGGCCATGAACGCCATCACCGACGCCACATCTTCTCCTGTGAAGCACAACTGGTGGACCCACCATGCGGCTGCTGCATCCAGCTGGCTCAAGGTGGCAGTCTTGATTTTGTTGGTCCTCACAAACTTCTGGAAGTCGGCCCATGCCTTCTGGTACGAATTGCTGTGGCTCTTGGAGATGTTCTTGGTTTCCAATAAGGTTAGGTTTTCCATCTTGGTCGCATCCACTACTGGCGGTGGTCCGCGCTTCAAGTTCCGCCACCCACTTGTACAGGAGGCCCCGCATCAACTTGTATTCTAGCGATCGCACTCCCAGTAGCAAGAGAAACTTTTTGAGGGGTGTCAAACCAAAAAGTTCGATCTTCGTGTAGCGATCATCATTCTTTGTTTGCCAGATTTCTTCCACACAAAAAATACTCCAACACTCTCCCGCGCCTCCATCCGAAATTCCTTCAAGTTGGCCCGAGAGAGCCGAGTGACAAATTCAGCGTGAACGGACTTCATGATGCTGCAAAATCGGATCAACATAAGGCTTCTAGCGCACTATTCAAAATCCTGGCTTTCGCAACTCCAGGGGATACAAGCTTATGGCGCAAGGTATTCAAAACAATTAAAGCCTGAGGTCCTAAGATGGAATCCAAAGACGAGGGATCGCCACCAAATACCCAGCGAGGCTGGCAGGCAAAGATTCACCTGTGTAGCCCGTACCGGCCTGAAGCTCCAAAAGAGCTCCCTGGCCATCAACATTGCTAGGCGGCTTACCCAGTTGAAACACAGAATCCCTCAGCCTACCCAAAACAAGTTGTTGTGACAGGTTGGCTTTAGGAGGGGAAGAAAAATTTGTCGCCACGAATTCAGAACCAGCGTGCATACTGTTCAGCGTGCAAACCATGTCATGGACCCACTTATCAGCATGACTGTGCATGAGATGCTTCCGACGAGTGGACCCGCAAAAAAACGGATTCGTCAAGGCCAGCCTTCAAAGGTGGGACCGGCAAAGGAAAGATTCCACGGTTCCTGACATTCGGCCCTGACTCAAAACTCAAACTTTTTGAAGGGGTCATTGAAGACAAAGTAGGGACCACCCCACCAAGCGGAGCAGCAGAAATGGATCAGGTCCAGTGCGCTGATCCACCCAATGGAATGGCTACTTACTAGCTCTCCTCTCTGGCCTTCCTGACCTGCTTGAGAACGGCGGCATCTCGCTCAACTTCCTTGGAGACATATTCGAGGAGATCTGGGGCGACCATAACATCGCCATATTCACGATGAGTTCCAGTGAATATGGCGGCCTCGGCCTTGTAGGACAAGACTTCATGTTTTTTGCACTTCCCTTTGCTTTTCCCCGTCCCTTTGCCCCCACCTGGACCTTTGTCAGAGTAGAAGTATTCGATCAAGAGAAGTCGAGTCAGTCCATCAAACCTGCCCATCTTATCCAGCATCTTCATGAAGTTCTCATGTTCGACCACTCCCCACATGTCCGGGGTCAAACCATTAATCATTATGGGAAACCCAATACCGGTGGTGTTCTGATGGTCCTCCATTCCGACGGTTGAGAAACTGCGAGCACCAATGGGCTGTTCTCGGGCCCGGCACATTCCAGTCGTCAAGGGATTCCTGGGTCATCTCACTTGCAACGTCTCGCCAAACCCCTCTCGATGCGCGATATGTCCTGAAAAGACACACCGAGAAGTCTGGCATCCGCAGCAGCTTCTTGTCTGATGGCATACCTTTTGCCCTCGTGTGACTTGAGTCCGACATCTCCATGGATAACCTCTGAACCACCCAAGACAACATGATCACCTCGGACGCGGCCCCCATCAGTTTCAGCTACAACCCACTTCGACCCTTCTGCATCCGCTTGCCCCACAGCTGGTTGCACTGCTCCACAACTTAGCCCCACCTTGTGCCACTGCCACACCAGGGGTCACCACCATGGCCATTGCAGCGTGTCGAGCATCGACTCTCATCTGGGCCATCTCAGCCCCAGATGGGAGATCTCTGATGTGGTAGGTGTTGGTCTGGTCCAAGCCGTATGGCAAAACATTTCCCGCCCCGATACGAAGCCCAGCCAAATCAGAGTTTTCCAATGAAATTTGTTCTGGATAGGGGTGAGAACAATGTGACAACCTTGACCGCAAGCACGCCTGGCAAGTATATATCGTTCATGCCAAAGAGCAGGAGGAGGTAGATCATAACAAACATACACCCGGGTGCCTTCTTGCAGAGACATCTCACTTGCGTGCCCTCAAAGCCAAGATCTGTTCCTTGGCTCGCAACCCCACCTCCGAAGTCATTCAACCCAACTAGGTTTTCCCACCTCCTTCACTCCGTGGTCACCCAAAAAAATCACGGGCCAAATCCGCCGGAGCAAGAAGGGTACCAATTGGCACACTTGAAAGATGATCCCCAAAGCCAACCACAATGTCGCTTTAACCAACTCCCAGCCCCAGCCACCTGACAAATCAGGCAGCTCACACCGGCAGGTGCAATGGCACTCAGTGGGCCCACTAGAACCCCGTGCCAACGCCAAAGCCCATGCGGCGCCTGCAGCAAAGGGTTGCCACATTGGAACACTTGAGCATCAGATCCGGCCACTCACAACGATCACCGCAAACCTCAGCGCGCAGGGAAAATGTCCGCGGGCAAAACGTTGATTTCCGCCCCAGGACGGTAAGAGCCGCTCTTCCCGAAAAAGGCAAGAATTTCTGCCGAAAGGATCTTCTAGGTATACATTTTCATGAACATGACATGTGCTCCATTGTAAGGGTCCCATCATCCTGCATCCTAACAATTCATCAATTGAAGAATTTGAAGCAGTGTCCTATATCGAACAGTCTGCTCAGATACTCCTATTAACGCATTGCATTGTTTGTGACATGACATGTTTCCTCCTCTACAATCTATACAGGCAATTTGCATTAGTGAAACTACCTTCTTTGAAACAACCTTATTGCTTGAAGAAAAACAGCATTAATTTATGTATATCATATCTCTATACTTCTTCAAGTGCGAGACGAGACATTTTTTGGACCGCATTCTTTAGCAATGAGTTATATAGCTGGTGAATGTGTTGGTGATGCGGGGGAGCATTGTATACGCAGCAGCAAATGCACACATGTATTGAAACGTGTTTTGCAAGTAGAACTTTTGCTGGCCTGCAATGCAAGGGACAATCTCGTGCAATTCAAAAGCAATCAAGAAGGTACAGTCTATACATCTTTCAAAGGGCGCAGCTTTCAGTTATATAAATGTAGAATGCTGATGCCTTGAAGCAAAAATACTGCACCCAATAACGAACAAATGCATCAAACAGAAGCAGGTGGGAGTGGGAGGTATTTTGATGTTTTTGAAGACAGCACATTGAAGTCAAAAGCGCGCACCCGAATACATGCATGCTGCATAAGATCACAGAAGCAGTTGTATAGTATAGTCCCTTTTGTATGCCCTTTTGGGAAGAGCATGGTTTTGCAAGCTTTCACTCAAAACTAACACAATTGCAAAAGCTGTCCTTCTATCCAGGTCTGACTCCATAGTCTCTGCTTTTTGGGAGTGTGCTCTCTTTTAGACACGGCGTGTTTGACAATCCACTAGCTGACGTTGTTATTCGTAGGGTGCAGGTGCCTCTAAATGTTAGATGAAGGTGCCTCAATCATTGGCAATCATTAGCATATAGTTGTTTTTTGTTCGGTGATTTGATGTTGCTTCATCAATTCCAAAAGACTCAGGTCCCATGCCCCGTCTGAATCATTGGAATCAACTGCCTTCTTGGCAGTCATGGCAATGACCTAAATCGTGTATGTGCAGTAACAATTTTAGGATGCTTTAGGAGAGCTTCATAGTGTTGTGAATTCTCTTTGGGTTGCCCACCCCGTATACACGAAAGGCAGGCTGGCTGTACAAAGGCTAGACGGACTGTAATGATTACTGTAATGTCGCCTCGCTGAGGTAGTTCCCCGGAGGTGTATACACAAAGGCTACGCAGGCCACAGGGTGGGCTACGCAAAGGACGGTACAAGGAAAGAAAACGTCTGGGTGTGAACAATACCTGTGGGGTTTTGGCTGTCATAATCTGTCATAGTGGAAGTTTGTACTTTTCACGGAAGGCAACTTTTAAGGCATGTTCAAAAAGAAGAACCTTTGAAATGGACAGGTCTAAACCCCAACCCACATCTTCCTTGTGCTGGCACGTAGCATCATCTTGGCAGAACTCCCAAAAGAGCATCCTTATCTTGGCTGAAGCGCCCTCCCCCCAGCGTTGCAGCGTTGCCAAAACCTAGTTGCGCCACTCAGAACAATGTTGTGAAATCGATGACAACGTTGTCAAACATGGCCAGAAAGCGGCCATGTTTTGCAGGAGAGCAAGGCACCCAAGCAACAGCAGGAAATGTGCACTTTTGTTGCATGTCCGGCATGTCCGTGAGGGCTTCAGTTTCTGAGACGCGCATCTCCACGTCTCTACGCACAAGTGCATCCTGCCGCAAAAAAATGCCCAAGTCCTTTCATGCATGATACCAATCATGATTCAGCATCATCTTATGTGCAATCACGACGACTTGACTCACAACAAACATCAATACTACCCTGCCCATCCCCGCACCCACACCCCAATGCGGGTCTGAAAGTATTCAAGCAATACTAAGAGGATCGCCAACGACGCCGTTAGCAAAACAACGCTGTCATGGCTGTCATGTCATATTGATCTCCACCTGTGTGCAGCTTATTCGAGCCATGGTTTGAGCCATGTCTCAGTACATAGACTGGACGTAACTAAACTGGCGAGCGCCAGTATACACACGTTTGATATCCTTTGATAACATCTTTCTGCAGGAAAGCCTTTGACCTTCTGTGAGCAAAATCCCCGGGCACGCTGTTAGCCGATGGTCGAAGCTGGTCTGAATCTGCGCCAAGGCTGTTTTTGAAACACATATGGCGATCCATGAAAGCAAATTGATGCAAATTGGACCCAGCTGATCCGCTCTGTTCTTGCTAATCCGAGAGGAACAATTAATCAGGAGTGGGCAATAGCATTGCATCCTTGACTAAATAGTATGTGTTTATATAACTGTCTGGTGTTCTTTTGAAAAACAAACTAGTCACTTCATGCGATCTCCATTCAAGGGTGAATCCATCAGCAGCTTGCACGTCCAATCATCACAAGCCGCCACACCAGAAGCTGTAACTCCATCTCCCTTCTGATCTCCTGCAAGCAACCCCAAGCTTGAGCTACAGGTCACGTGATATTCCTACGACAATTTCTATGTTGCAGTCTTGAAAAAACACCGGTCTGTGTCTGGGTGCCCAATTGATTTTGTACAGTGCAAGTGTCGGGTCCAGGGCAGAAAAACAAACAAAAATAGACTAGCTTGCATTTCAGGCTGACAGCAAAAGCCAACCCGCCCTTCAGGGCAACCCACTGCGCATTGCGGGAGTTCGTTGGAAGTCGGGGCAGTTGAGGACTGGCAAAGACATTTGTGCCAGGGTCTCTCAGTGATTCTGTGTCCGTTCTCGATTCTCAAAGCCACCTCTTCGCACCCCTGCGTGTCAAACACTAACCTTAGAGAGCGTTGAAGGTAGTGAGCAAAGATCTGATGCGTACAGCAAGCAATGCTGAATGCAGGGGTGTTGCCCATATAGCGTTTCTGTGTTAAAACAAGGCATCCAGCTGGTTTATTGCACGCACAAAGCATTGAGACGGGATTGTGCAAATAAAGCATTTGGGTCGAGAAACTGTGCCAAAGCCCGGCATTGCTGTCGGTAGTGCTTTGGGATTCTCATTCTCGACCTGGCCATTCAGCTGGATATCCGTTTCATGCGTCAGGCAATGAACTGTTTCCATTACAGTGGCTGTTCTCCAAACATGCCCATCTTTGGGATGCATGTTGGAGGGCATAATTACAGCAATATGAAAATAAGTCAAGGTACTTCCCTGAAAAACTGTTTGTGAATCCTCTGATTCGTGTCCAACAGCTGAGACAAAAAAGCAAATCAAAGGAGAAAATCCCGAATCTGCATTGTGAACTTCCAGCTGGCTGGCACCCTGCTACCCTATCCGGTGCTGGCCTTTTTGCATGTTTAAGGTGGCAGAACAAACACTGATCGCCATTTGCGCAGCCAGTCCTCATGAGAGGTCCAATTCGAGAGATTCTGTCGAGTGAGAAGTCATGGCAGGGGACACACACTGGTTTTGATCTCAGGTCTGTATAGCTGCTGGTTAGGCCCTGCTGGGTAAATCTGGCAAACTCGGACCGTGGAATTTCCAGCGAGCGGGGTGGTAGCTCAAAGAATCGAGAACACATGCATGGTATGGAGGTCGTTACGTTTATTGTATAATTGTGTTTTGTTCGAGTAGCATCCTTGTTCCTAGTTGTGAAGCCAGGAGCCCCTAGTAGCTTCTTGCTCCTAGTAGTAAGGCCAGGATCCCCTAGTAGCGTCTTTGTTCTTTGCATGGTATGATAGTGATTGATAATGCATTCCATGATGTCCATCTGCAAGGGTGCCCAGCGACCCTGACTGATTTTCTTGACTTGTCTGACTTGTCTAATTAGCAAAGCCATGGGTGTATGACCCACCGTCCAACATCTGTCTGTATTGCACTCAAGGGATTCAAACTCAGCTCCCGGGCCGAGAATGAAAATAGTGGCATGGCCGACCTCCGCCAACATCCGGGCAAGTGTCTCAACATATCGTCTCATATCGTCTCCATTGGTGGAACCACATAATTGTATAAGGGAAGTGCATGTTGAAACTCTTGGGTCTTCGATGCATCTCTAAGCGTATTCTGCATCTCTGACCAGGGTGTGCTGCATATCTTGGCTCAAGACAGGCCCCTCTGTCGTGACCAGCAGAGCCTTTGCTCCATTGCCTGAGCTACATTGAGCTACCAAATTTGACGAAATGCTGCTACCTTCATGGAACATTGAGCATCTGAAGGCATCTGATGAGCAATGGGGCACATCATATATATATATATACACACGTATATATACATGCACAGTAGAGTGTATATACTATCCATATATTGTCAATCGATATACTCACCAAACGCGTGCACTGCGTCGGTCAATAAACTGCAAAAGCTTGGGCACCTGCCCTTGCTGCTGTTCCTTGGCCTTAGTGCATTGCTACACGGTCAACTTAAACTGACTAGCAACATCGACCTCTCCAAGCTGGGCCTCCTTGTGAGGCTGGTCTCAGACTGAACTGGAGATTGAGAGATTGAGGCTGTCACACTGGCTGGCGATGTGTCATTTGCTGCACCTGGGCACAAGCTAGGTACAGGTTGCGCTTCAGATTCGGGACGGCTTTAGCTATTGCATTTTGTCATTTGATCTTTCAAAGCACCCAATAGACTGAGGACAAGACTTGAAATGGGTGCAGCCTGGCTGTCGTGAATCTTATTAGCCAATGTTCCCTGCATGCATCTACACAGTAGCATATATACATAGACAAGACTTGATCAGTGTAGACACTTTGAGTGGGACCGCGCCAGCATTGCACTGAGCAAAGCCGTGAAAGTGTGATAAACTATGATCCTACAAATCAGCAGCGAGTGCCCTTGCATTGTGTTATACATTATAGTTATTGTATTGTTACATACATACCTCCGCGGCTGGTTCCATGCACAAGGTGGGCAACCGAAAAGGATTCCCAGAAGTAGAATTGAGGTCGGAAACGTAAAACACCGGACCTGAAGAAACAGGCCCGGGCTGGAAGTGAGAGCATATGGGCCGGAGCCATGATAAATTTGTGTGGCTTGTGGACTTGTGGCCAGGCCAGGGTGCCTGTGAAAACCGCTGCCAAGGCCTAACTGCCAACTGCATCAGGTTCGACAGAGGAACTCCCTGGGTTGGACACAAGTTGGGATTTCTAGCCGCTAGCCGGCATACCTTCGACAAGTCTTAAAGGTTGGTTACGGTTGGTTGCTTCATGCTGCGATGTATATGTTGTTTCCCCTGTGCCTGGCACGCAGTCTGCGAAGTCGGCCTCGGATCAACACCAACCCTGGATGCCCTCCATGTTGCCCACATCCCTTGGCGCTCTCCAAACTGATCCAAAGATCTGCCAACCCTAGGACATTCTAGGACCATGAACGTGAATGCCCGGAAACGATGTCTTTTTGATGGGGATTCCGGTGAGCACTGGGCGATGTCAGTCACCCGGCACTGTACCAAGAAGTTGTTTTAAAGTTGACACAAAACAAAAGTGCTTTCAGACCGTTGATGCCGTTGATATGTTTCCTGCGAGAAGGATTGCCCAGGATTTGGCCTGGGGGTCGGTTCCCCCCTGGTCCTTCCGTGGCAATGCAGTTTACGCATTTTTCGCTGTGCTGAACGCCCTGACGGTGCTTGAAAACCCCACTGTGTGCGCCTTGTGGCCACAGCCCAAGAACGATTTTCTCGGGCATTCGGGACTCGGGAGGGTACCCAAGATTCGAACATCATCACATCGGAAGGCTCTAGCTGCGGTCTTCCCAGTTGCAAAAAAAAGACGCGCCAAAACAAAACAAACGGCGGTCTTTCGATCTCTTGGAGGGGGCAATCGTGTATAAGTGGGCAGCGGGACCTGTGCCGCGAAAGCGCTGTGCTGGCTTCGTGTTCCAAAAAATTCACATTTTGAGTAAGTATGTGTTCCTGCGTTGCAACGTTTCACCCGGGGTCGGCGGTCCCGTAGCAAAAACCCTACAACAATTGGGCACCCATCAAACATGAGCAGTGCGCAAACCACACGACCAATGTTTGGTACTTCTCTAGAGCTTTCTGGATTTAGCCTCCAGAGCTGAGGTCCTTTGTTGAACCTCTCTATTCATATCGTTTTTCTTTAGCTCTGGTATGCTCTGCTAGTGCAGTAACAGTCGAAAGGACCAAAACAGCCAAAATGTGTTTACCGAGCATTCTTCATGGTCAAAAGTGCCAAGACCAGTGCGCCATGCTTGGGGCGGCATTCCCGACCTGTATCCAGCTGCAGGCGGTTGCTTGAGGCAGGTCTGTTCGACCCATGTCCAGTGTTTGATCGTCCAGCCTGAGCATCCGCCGACAAAGCGGGATAGCCGCTCTGCCTTACACCAAGCGATGGCTGCTTCCGGGTCAACATGGGCAAATTTCACAGCACTGCAGCTCTAGTGCTCCATGATGCTCCATGTATATAGGGGAAAGGGCAACAAAACCACCTGCACTCTGCACATTACAAACCTTTCTTGCACGTGCGAATCTGAAAAGAATGGACATTGCAATCCAGTGTGTTCAGTGAAAAACTGGTGAAGCATCTCCTGGGGATGCCTGATATGTAGCCTTCATATCAACACAATGACTCGACCCATGAGCTCACAGCAGTGCCATGCCCATCTGAGAAGGACAAGGACCTCCAGGACTTCCTAAGCTCATGCCCTGAAGGTTGACAAAACAAATAGTAAATGACACAACGCGTGTATGGTAGTCCAGCGAAAGTCTTCAATTGGGCCTTTAGGCGTTATATAAATGTGGTTTGCAAACATTCTCTTGCCTTTAGCGAAAGGTTTATCATATTTGAATAGAGGCTAGTCATTCTTGGGTGCGCATTTTATGAAGGTCCTACACATTTTCTCCTAGATAATGTTCCCGCCGCTTCACGTCAAGGCCACTGCCGAAATTCAGGCGGAAGTCATACCTTGGAAAAACCACATCCAAAAAAATCCTTGGTCATCTCTCTTAGGTTGCAGGCCATTGCTATGTAGTAGGTTGGAGGCCATCCATGAACTTACGCTGGGGAGGCCCAAACATCCATGAATTTACAGTACTGCATTCCATAAAGCGACGGTTCTGTGGCCACAACCTCCGGTCCACAAGCTGCTGTTGCTGCTGGTACAGTTGCTGCTGTTGCTGCTGTTGCTGCCAAAGCCTGGGCGCCAGTTGAATCCAAAGAAGTGTCACACACATTCACAACCAATGAAAAGCCTGCACAGGTTGCAATAAGTTTTGGCTTGAACAGAATGACACAATTGACACAACGGCAAACCACACCGAACAAAGCAACGACAGGAAAGTAACTAAGGCCTGTACACTAGGTCCTGCGAACTACCTCAAGTGTATATAAAACATGTTACTTTACAGTACATGGAATGTTCGGATACTGCGCATTGCAAAACAAGGACAACTTGTATGCAATGCAACTCATGGTCTCCCCAGCGCCTCTGTGATCGAAAAGTTGCCCGAAGAGAGTGCATTTGCAAATTCACACGTGTATATAATATAATGTCATACACCATAGGTTGGTACAAACAATTTGTGTGTCGAGTCTTGTCTGTTCAATGTTTATGGTCATGTGTTACTATCTTTTTGTGTATATGCAAATATACATGTATACGTATATACCTACCAATATCTGTGCGTGAGTGTGAACCATCCGACTGACCACAGGCACAAGGTCGCCAGGCGCAGTCACTTTCAAAGTTTTTCACAAGTCAAATTGCAACACAACAAAATGACAATTGGGCTAGATGCAGGAACAAATGTTGCTTGAAGTGCGCCCCTGTTGCGCATGCTTCTCCAACCACAGCAAGGTAGCAGAACGAATAGAACAAGCGCATGTTCCATCTCCACTGTTGGATTGAAACTCAGAGTCCTACCAATACGTTAATTTTTATGCCACATACACTGCGAGATACTGACACTTATACGGCAACTCTCAGGTCCTGACTTGAGCTTGAAGAGTTTGGCTGAGCCTTGGAAAGCACCAAGCCGAAACTTTTTGGCAAAGAAGTGCCAGAGCCGCCAGAGGCTGAACCAGGAGACTATACAAGCATTTTGTCTTGCCATTTTTTGCTTGCTGTTGTTGTCTTTCTTGCGGGTTTGGACTTGTAATTGTGTTACACACGGCAAAGCAGTCAAAGAGTGAAAAGTCAAGTGAGTGAAAAAAAACTACTCTACTTCGAGCGACCCCCTCATGGCATCACACTTTTCTTATATGCGGCGGCTTTTTTGCTTCAACATCACCAAGTAAGTGTCCATCTGGCGTATCTACTGGCACAAATTCAGGCATTCTATCTGGCACATATTCCTGCACTCTATCTGGCACCTTTCCGGCATTTCTTCTGGCAAATGTTCTGGCATTCTTCCTGGAGAATCTGGCATTCTATGCGGCATACTTTCGGACATTCTTTGGGAATCTGTTCTGTCATTCTTTCTTGCACATGTTTGCATATATTCTGGCAGTATATCTGTCAAATTTCACGAGTCAAGGAAATAAGGGATTAAAATCATGGCTAAAAGGAAACACCTGGGGCCGGGGAAATAAGGGTTGATGGGATCAAGGCCCCCTTGTAAACTTTGTGTTTGTCAAACGTTGTAGAAATTAAGAAAAACCAAAAATATAACGTAAAATGTTGCATGTCTTATTTCCCTCACCCTTTGAAAACCACAATCCTGAGTCAGTGTGCAAGGTTGAGCCCCCTTCGTGAGGAACCACCTTGCCGCGGTAGAGGTTTGCTGTCAATGCAGTGACCCCCGACCTGTCAGACGCGAGTTCTGGTAAGCCAGCCAGAATATTGACGGCACGGCCGCCAGCCATCTGGACGTGGAACACTCGGCCACCAGCGAACATACAGTAGTTCTCCACAAGGCGCCGATGATGCCGTAGCGTCCTCGCCTTCATATCTTTGGCCGCATCCTCAGCCGTCATCAACAGAGATATTGCAGCCTTGTATTGCATGGCCGCAAGGCTCAGCACGCAGCTGATCCTTATAGTGATTAGTGGCTCCAGTTGGCATCGACATAGATGGCCCGGCGGACGCTCAGAAGTTTGTTCCGTTCGCCATTGTTGTCTGCGTCCAATAGCAGGACCATGAAGAGCTGGCCATGACAGTTGTAGATCGTCCATCTGGCGCTTCTGCTCTGGTGCGACCGCACGCTGCCACTCTTAGACTCCTTGTAGTTGAGCGCAGCCTCTGGTCAAATTGGATGACCTCCATCCATACAACATTCAAGCGTTCAATACCACACCTCCGCCGCCAGGAACTCTGCGAAAAAGAAATATATATATATATGTATACTTGTATATACAATGTACAACAATCTCTGCCGCCTCAAACTTGGTGAATTAAGAGGGGCCAAAAGCACACATGCTGCTTAAATGTAAGTAGTAAGCCTATTAACTGATTTATTACTTCTCTCAATCAAGACTCAAGACTAGCGGTACACTTCACTCTCTGCTTCAATCATTCAATCACGCTCTTCCCTTAATCAACTTCAGTATTCTTCATCCGAATCCAATCTGCTTTTTTGCGGGGGGCCGCCTGCCAGATTTCTCGGATAGTGTGCGGCCACCCTGCCCACTTCCGGGAACTCCCGATCGGCATCGTCTCATCGGGGACCACCTGCCAGCTTCCCCGGATAGTGTGCGGCCATGCCGCCCACTTCCGGGAACTCCCGATGTTGTTTTTCCAATTCTTTCAATCCAAAAAATCAACGAGAGAGAGAGAGAGAGGGAGAGGGAGAAAGAAAGAAAGTGCCATGCGATATACAACATCAACCCTCTGCCGCCAAAACCTCAGTGAATCAACAGCTTCAACCCTCTGCCGACACAAACTCAGTGAATCAACAACTTCAACCTTTTGCTGGCAGAAACTCAGTGAATCAACCCTCTGCCGCCACGAACTCGGTGAATCAGTTAAGAAGGGCCACAGGCACGCGTGCTTTAACTTGGAGTCTAGCAATTTTGAATTGAGTTTTGGTATTTGGAAAGAAAGGAGCAAGCAAGAGAAGGAAGGAAGACACATTTCACATTTTTGCTAAATACTTTGGCCAGGTGCACAAGAATACTTTCGAACCAAACAACCAAGTGAAAAGGAAAATAAAGATGAATAAGTAGTAGAGGGATGCGCAAAGAACGACGAGAGAAGGACACAAACACATAACTCAGGGAATCAAACAACTGGCGGTTCTTTGGATCCAGGTGGAAAGATAAACAAACAGATCAAGAAGTAGTAGAAGGATCCACAAAGAACGACAACAGAAGGACACAAACGCATAAGGAACAAGAAGGACGTGGGATAACAAAGAACAAAGACTTTTGCGAAGTCACGTTTGCCAGGTGCAAAACTCAGGGAA